TCACAGGGAACTGAATGCATAGACGCGAAATCCAGTTTCTTCGAGGAAACATAATTTCAGGTAGTACCGCAGTTTTCACTTCTTCCCCTTTTGAGAGATTAATATATGAAATCGGGGGGGGGGGGACATCTAGGCCTGATTTCTCAAGCGATTTTCAAATGAACCGACGAAGACGGAAGAAAGAATTTTCAAATCTTTCCATACAACCAGAAGGAATTTCCAAAGAATGTCCGATAACCCACTCCAAATCGTTAAGGTTTAAACCATTACCCGACAGGTGGGTTCCATAACGATGGCGTCAGAGAGTCGTCGCACGATTTATCAAGATGAAGAGAGTGAGGATTCAATTCCGCAGTTCCACGTGGAACGGTCGGAGTAACGAGTCTCAGTTTTCACACTAGGCCTATACGAGTAGGAGCATCGGGAGAAATCGAATGGTACTTGCAGAAATGCGATCATGGGTGCTGCTTAGGCAACCCTAAGCACCCACCCGTTCATAATTAGTATGGACAGTACATATTCAGATGCTATGCCCATACTCCAAACTGGTCTGAATATAGACATTGTTTTGCCCATATTTGAAAATTGTAACGGTTTTTTCCAGTTAATAATGCTTAATAGCAGCTAAAGTCACTCTTTCCGCAAGTCAAAAGTAGTAGGCCACACTCTCGTTGTATCGATTGGTGCCTTGGCTAAAAGGCGGCTGAGGGTCTTTGCAGCATAGTCACATAAACAAGTATACTTCGATTATTTGTCCAAATTTCCGTACCATTTCCGTCCATAGTCAATATGTCCATATTTTGTTAAATTCAAAGGTGACAACCCTAGTGCTGCTGGTGACGAATCCGACGTTTAAGGCTGCGAAGACCCAACGAAATATATAGGCAGTCAGGTTCGATTTTGTAGCGAGTCGAAATAGATGAGACGGAGGAGAGACGGTCGAGGGAGCTGCTGGGACGACGCGGGGACTGCCCGACACTTCGCGTGTGTAACTTGAAGCTATCTACTGCGAAGGCATAATATAGGTGTCGCCACCGTTTGCTGAAAGCAGAGAACCGCTTCACGAGAACATGGATTCTGACTTTCTATTTACATCATATCATAAACGTGCATAGAAAGAGGTGGCGGCACGAGATAGGGAGCCACAAATGGGTCTGTCCTCGGCGTCAGACGTGGCATCCGGAGTAATATGTTTAGTATGTAAAATGTATTAAACTATATTATGGATGACGAATCAGCACATAAAGGTTCCAACAATTTGCTTTGGGTTGTGACTGAAAATTTCATAATCCAAAGTCTTGCTCTCTCTCTTTTGTTAGAGGTGTAACTATGCGCAAAGGAGTGTCAAATGTGACATTTCGTGAACCCTCAAGTTAGTCATTTGTTCTAATGTTCACATATCTGTCGTCGAGCAGACCCTAATAATTTAGTTTCATGTTCATTCTATTGATTGAATGAAAGCCTGAAATTAGTGCACGCCACCCCAATATTACATCACTTGAAAGAGAAACTAAACCTATTTTGTGACGGTGTCGGATGTGACATGTTCTGAAAATGTATTTTGAAACGAGAAGTCTGTATATATCTTTTAATTTAATTTTTAAAATATCATTTAAATGGGAACAATTGACATCTACTCTTCACACTTGAGCTGATTTGAAACTATCAGTATGAATGTAAAGCCCATGCTGGCATCTGTTCCAGTAGTTCAAGTCTCTCCAGATTTGCATTTTCATCACATTTTTGAGTATCATGAGAGTGGTATGAATAATATATCATAATCATGACTAATTCTTTCATTTTCCAATGTAATATTCTCTTTCATTCATGTATTTTGGGAAAAGAGATGATGAACTTCTGTCGCGAAAGTAATATTTGTGTATTTAGGAAAATTTCTCCACGCCTCTGTCACTTCAGAATCAATGTTTTTCGTTTTTGGTCATGGATATTGGTTAACACGATGACTGCCACATAGGTCATCAGTGTCCCATGGTAGCGTGTCTTACTCATACGCGACGTATCCGCTGTGGACGTCTGTATTACGTACATACAGGGTGGTCCATAATTGCTTCCCCAAAAGTAAAAGCTCATTACTCAGGAAGTATACATCCGATTTCAATGAGATATGACTCAAACGATAACCAATTCAATATATTTTTACTGTGGAAAATTTCAGCATTCCATTAAAAAAATAGAACGAAGTTACACCATAACAAATGAAAGTACCCATATCGTGCAACTAAAGCCTGTAAATATCACAATACCTTCTGAAATTCGCAATTCATTCGTGGGTTTTTCATGCAACGCGAGGGATTGTCTGTGTTATGGGTGACCTCAGTATCCTGCAGAATACGAATATTGCCATTTTGTTTGATAAATTGAAGGGAGCAAATTTGTGCGAGGAAAATTTGGAAATTTCTTCAGTTTGGGTCCAATTGCTTCAGTTCCTGATGAGATAATGAAGGCAATTCATAAGAGGTTTCTGAACCTGAAGAGAGACATGGGCGTACCTATGACAACCTAGATATGCTGGCTAGAAACAGGCCATTCAAGATGCCTTCGCCACAATAGCCCTAGAGATGATTGAAAGAATTCTAATAGCATTCAAAGTGAGACTGCACCAAGTCATTGAAGATTGTGTAAGTCACATTGAACACTAGTGATTTGGCGGCTTTCGTTTGTAAGGATGTAACTTTGTTGAAGTTTCCCATGGAATGCTGAAATTTCCGAAAATGAAAATATATTGAATTGGCTATTGTTTGAGTCATATATAATTGAAATCGGATGTATCAGGTCATCCCATAAGTAACGTCGTCTTACTGGCATAGCCTTACTTGTGTCTTCTTCATACATGTATCTGCGAACATCCCATGGAATATTTCTATGCTAACTTGTGCAGGGGTTAGTCGTCAATATACGTGCAGGTTTTCACGAGGTAACAGTGCTCCGTTTTTCTTGGACACAAAAGACAAGATGGAGTTGTCAGAAGAACACATTAGGCATATAATGCTTCATGATAGGGGAATATATACTTGATTGAAACTTGATGCGATGCAGGTGTATTTTAATTTTGAAAAACAGAGAAAAGAACGACATTACTTATGGGATGACCTGATATACTTCTTGAGTAATAAGCTTTTACTTTTGGGGAGGCAATTGTGGACCACCCTGTATGTACATCATCCAAGTACAACGTCTGTATGCTTTTTGGCTTCAGAGGATATTTTTCAAAATTTTGTCTTGTAGTCAATGTTTTAAGCAATGAAAGTCTCTTTGGAAAATAATAGATTTCCCAAAACGAATTGCGTGAATGATTATTCAAATAAGCATTGTCTGCTCAATAACCAACAGAAACTGAAAATTGTGTCCAGGCGAGGGACGTGGCATATTTTACCGATAATGTCAATCCTCAGGGACGCAAAGCCATCATTTCACTATTGTCCATGAAAACATGGCTCGAGAATCGTTCATGCAATGCTTAGACAGTGGTATACCGATATTTTTGAAATCAATGACTATTAATAATCAATGTCGTTCTGGACGGTTCGCGTCCACGTCGCAAGGATGGACCCTAGTGATTCGGACAGCCGAAGTATTCCAGGTCCTACAGTTGAAGGTGGTCAAGACGAACCAAAGCTTACATGACGGGTTCGGTTCAGAAGCTTCATACTGGATCGGTCGTCGCCCAGGATAATCAGGACAGCGAAAGTCATCGTGCATGGGGTGACTAGGTTGGCTATCGGGGCCGGGCAATCTGTTTTTGGGTACGTCGGACCTCGTCGTGCTAAATCCAGACCTATTGGTCGGCCTGCCACCGACCATAGCGTATTTCGGCACGATGCCCTCAGGGCAGACTAGGAGCAGAACGAAGTGGTAAACAACCTGGGCAAAGGACTTTGGATATCGCTTGGAACGTGCTAACATTCGGCAGTAAGGAGCCGAAACTCGTGGAATATCGACTACATATAGTGGGCCTGGCATCGATGGAGAGAAAAGGCAGGGGTTCCATCGCTCTAGATCAGCGGTTTCCAAACTGTGGGTCGCGACAAGCTTCCCACGGTAAAAATAAAAAGCTCTATCCGCATATAGCAATCCTGAGTAATCGAATAAGCTTGGCCCTTGCACACTTCTGCCTGTGGGACTCCCCTCCTTCCTTTTCTTTCCACCTTACTCTCAATTATGATAAAAAAATATCCCCTTTTGTAAAGAAGTCGACACGGTCGCTGCTTCCCTTCGCTATCAAATAGCGGAAACAGGATTCTCTGCTCTGACTTCGATAAAAACAAAGTTTCGTTCGAGGCTGCAAGTGGAGAACGATCTCCGACTCGCCTTGGGAAAAATTCCTCCCAGAATAGAGCACCTCTGCAAAGTGTACCAAATGGACAAGCCATGCTTAAAATAAAAGAAGCACTGCAATAAAGGTCAATGAGTTTCCTTCATGCCAAATTAATTTTAAAATACCTCATTCTGGATTGCGGTGGGTCGCGAACTTTTTTGGGCGTCGGGCAAGTGGGTCGCGGTTCAAAGAAGTCTGGGAACCGCTGCTATAGATCACGAATGAACGAGTGGAGTAGACTCGACTTTGTTTGAACAGGCAGGAATGGGGATACTCTGTGGGGATACACATAACACGAAGATGCTCCTGGACCTACTCGAGTCGCGACCCTATCAAGTTGGGATAAGCGGATTCGAGAAGTTAATATGTATAAGCAATGTCTAAATTGATCATAACTCATCGTTCATACGATTTGCCCTATGAGTTTCCTCGAAATCTAATGTCAACACACATCTTTAACTTGTGATTATTTCTTATACACGCCATTTGCACATCGATCTTCGGTCATCGCTCCCCGAATGAGCACGTGGACATGGCAATTTTGGGGACTGCTGGTGAGGTGGTTCTTACCAACGCGACCCTTGGAGCGTGGGACGAAGATAGGATAAACAGGTCGAGGAGGGAGACAATATGATAAGGATAAGACCGATAAGAGAAGCCGGCACTCGATACGACCTCACTGTGGTACGTACTGTCGACGCTTTCCGCCCAGTCATGGGACATTGGCAGAAGTGAATCACGGCAAAAATGGCAAAGAGTGAAAGCGAGGTAGGGAGCGACCGAGACAAGTCGGAACAGGGTGAAAAGCCGATGGATACCTCCCCTCGACTACTCACCATGCGAATGGAGGAGGTGAGCCGGTACGAGGAACAGCGCATCGCCCGATACCGTCTCAATGGATACTCAGGTGGAGATCTCGGGAAAATCGTCCTCCTGGTCGGTGCCACTGGATCAGGTCTGTCCTCCCTGCTTCATTCCATTCTACAATAGGTGTGGACTTACTAGCCCCGATTTACTTTTCGATTCACCGTGTCACCTTAAAATTGTGGCCTTGACGACTTCTGAATAAAACCAAATTTTAACTAAAAAGATCACTGTAAAGCAATCGTACATGTAAGGCTCATCAAATAAATTCTGGGGCCGTTCCAACTCCAGTTTCTCTCTATATTTTCCATAGGAAGAGTCTAGTTATCTTCATCCATATGGAAAGTACCCATGTGTCGTCGGCGCCTAAAAGTTCTGGAGCCATAAGAATATCTACATGACATTTAAAAAATGAGGTGAAGAAAAGCCTTCACTTCTTGTCATGCACACCTCACAACATTCGAAGTGAATCACTAATCTAAAGAACAACAAACCTTACATTGGTCCAGTACAATTATTTGGTTTCATACAGCCTGGATCATTTGTGTGCAGTCAAGTGGGTCTTCGAACGATCGGGTAGAAAGTGGATCTTGTACACGCATCCAATATGCGTCATACTTTATCACCTTATTCGCTACCCACGAAGACGATAGCGATCCACTTCAACTGTTGAGTGTTGTGTAGAACAAACCCCAGAAAGACGAGGGAAAGAGAGGTATGCCTATAGGCACACCTTTATTCCATCGGGTACTGTATTTTCGCATTTGATAACCCAAGAGCGCTCATTCAGATCTCACAGCTCTCGTGCGGGTAGGGAAAGGGTCAGGCATGCCTCAGAATCAATGGGTGACGTGCACTAGATCCATTTTCATTATGGACGGCTATGGGAACAAGATTATCTGCGTCAAACGGATTCCCATAAGAGACCATTGTGGGATCAGATTAGTTAGACAGATCTGGTGCATGTCACTCACGGATTATACCCACAAAGAATATTATAAATTCCCAATCATTTCAACGTTATCATTGGATTCCGACTTTGGACAGGGAAGAGCACTTTCGTGCAAGGGCTGGTCAATCACATGTCCGGAGTGAAATGGGAGACGGAGAGGAGATTCGAGGTGGACATGGTGAAGGAATCCGCGGAAGAGGATGAGGTAACGGAGAGCCAGACGACATGGGTCACCGGTTACACTCTGACCGACCTCGATCGGCCCGATCGGGTCCTCACCGTGGTCGACACCCCCGGGTTCGGCGACACCGGCGGCCTCGGCGTCGACGAGTTCATCCCCAAACAGGTCGGCAACATAATGATCGGTGTGAATTCCTCTAGTCCAGGGGTCGGGAACCTATGGCTCATGAGCCAAATTTGGTTCACGAGCCGAAAAGTTTGGCTCATTGAGTCATGGCTGAAAATCATGGTTGTTCTCATGTATGAAAGAATGCATGTATGTTGCCAACTTCAGGAAAAATTCTGTTGTTCTGAAAATCTTTCGCTCACAAGCACTTAGCTCTATCTTAATGTGACTCACTTGGCCAAAAAGGTTCCCGACCCCTGCTCTAGTCCTACCCCTTTTCTTGGAGCTCTCCTGCAACTCATGCAAGCCCAAGTTGACGAAATGCGGGGAGCGAAAAAAACTTACGCGGAACGGAGTTTTGGAAAATACGATGAAATCGCTCCAAAAGTTAATTTCATGCGAGAATCGACTACGAATGCCATCGCTTCCCGATACGAATTTCCAATTTTCAGTCACTTCCTGATACGAATGCTTCACGGCAATGAAAATGAAGAATTGAGGAGAACTAAGTCCATGCTATAAAAAACTTGCACTTGAACTCCATACTGAGGATATGAGGCAATGTATATTGTAGAACGTCTGATCTCAGAGTCTTAGATAAGATATTTCCTCGCCGGGTATTTACTACAGGGCGACACTTGAGATTCCTTCGCTTTCAACGTGTCGAGAATTCAAATGAAAGTGAAACTGGAAAATGGGAACAAGTATCGCAATGAGATGAAATCTGCACTCACATGTGCTTCCACGAGTTGAACCGGTACAGTGATACACCGTTGTTAAACCATCAATTTCAATAAACCATCATCTATTGGCATGCAATTTTCCGAAATATTAACACAAGGCCATCAATAGACGAGTTCTTTTATGGTTAGGGTTCATCTCCAGGCATAGAAAAAATGAATGAATAATTTCTCATTTTAATCGAATAGACCTCGAGGGTTATATGGGGTCAAGTTCATGCCAGCTTTCAACTCGATGTCAAGAGCAGAGTCTTAATGGTGAAATTCCTCTTTCGTATGAACTCTTATCATCGATCCTCGTAAATGAGATTCCACACCTCCATTCTCGCTTTTGGTCTTCACCCCGATGTCATCGGATTATTTCCTGCATAATATGTGCATTTCGTAGCCGATAGCGTTGGGTTTCTTTTCATGGTGGAAGAGCAGGCGTGAGACGGGGGAGGATAACAGGGGAACGCGAGACGGGGGAGGATGAGGGCATCGAAAAGTACATCAAATACAGATGCTACTGCAGTTAATAATCATTCGTCTAGGCTTGACTAGGTTTTATCGTAGAATCTGCGCGTTCGCACCGGATCGTGAAAGTGTTTCGCAATCCAGAATTCCTAGGGATGCTATAAAACAAGTTTCTCTCCGTTGACTCCCTTGTTTGCGCACAAGAGCAAGAGAGAAGTAAATCGTGCGATGGTATTATCAGCTGCAGCAGAACGCATGAAAGACGATATGACCGATGACGAAATGACGAAATGACGAAAGACGATATGACCGATGGCATGTACCTTCTAGATTCACCACCTTGTTTACTCTTCCAACCTGGGATGGAAGTATAGTATTACGTATGACTGGTTCTCCTCCGGTGGGCCGCGGCCCACTGATGGGCTGTGGAGGTGCCGCGGGTGAGCTGCAACAAGTATCCGTAAATATAAAAATAACAATTAACAGATATACGAATAAAAATTATATAGCTTTTAAGTCTGTAGTGGGCCATGGATCACTTTACAGTCGTTAAGGTGGGTCGTGGGATCGAAAAGGTTGAGAACCACTGACGTATGATACACGATTTTGAGGGGATTCCGACCACTTTAACAGGAAGTGAAAAACCTCATTTTGGCTGTTATTGGATGAGGGAATGAGCATCCTTCATTTTGTTATTCCTGTCCACAAGATATATCACATCGATGAATCGAGAGACGATGTAATACAAGGTGTCCCATAAGTAAGTTTACCCGATCAATGAGCCGATGGTTAAAATCGTTTTCTCCCTGGAGAGTTGAAGAGCGATTTCAGCTGGAAACGGTCATCAACAGGATCTCAACAAAAAAAAAACAAACAAACAGGAATAATATCATGTAACAGTAACCTTGGTTACTAAGAAATTTGTGCAGCCGAAAATCCTTCGGTAAACGTACCTATGGGGCACCCTGTATATGAATGAATGATATCGATAGTCATTCCTTCATTTGAGTCCGCACGCATCTGCAAGGTTTTCTTTCGGATGAGATTTCCCCCCCCCCCCCCGCGTCTCATATCGCCCTTTATTCACGATGCTCTTTTTAGTCGCGCGATCGGTCAGCTGCACTTGGGCGTGAATTGAAAATGAAGGCTAGGAATAAGACAATCCTCATGACGATGTAAGTCTTTCGGGAGAACGGACCTCAGGTCTCGCTCCGCCTCGGCAGAGGAAATCTATCAACGAGTTTCGATAGAAACTCGTTGATAGATTAAATAAAAGGGAACCATCCGAGAAGTTGATGGACACTTCCTCCAAGAAGACTCTTCGATCGGAAGAAACGATTTACAAAGCCATCGAAAAGAGAAATATGAAATAGGGATTCACTCATTGTCCCTTCCGCGTGGTGCATCAAATTGGTGAAACGGAAACAAATATGGCACCGGTGCATCTAATTTCCATGAATGCTATTATGAAATCAGATTAGTTTACGATTGAGGGGATTAATTTTAAATTTCACCCCAACATGACTGAAATTCCTTGGAGAAGTCGTTCAGAAATCGGTCCTACACTCACTCTTTTAAAGCCGACAGAGCCCTAAAAGAACTGCATAGCACTCTGCTCTTATCGTCTCCTTAATTTTTTTTCTCTCTCGTTTCCCTCGCTCGTCTGGTCGTGAACTCCTCGAGGGGGAATTGCGGAAATGAGTCATTTCCGAATGGAAGTTTTTCTCTTGCCGGGGGAGAAATTGAAAAGGGAAGGAGCATTTTTAGTCTTTTTTTCCCTTCCCCTTCTGTTCCTCCAGGGCAGGGGTGCCCTACCAATTGGCCGTAGGCCAGATCCGGCCCTCGTTGACAGTTCATCCGGCCCGCGGCGCTTCCGAAAATTTGACAAACATTCCCGGAAAAGAATCGTCACTGGGGGGGGGGGGGTCCATGGCACCATTATTAATATAAAAAAAAGGTCATGCTACCCGTGAGAGGTCCGTAAGTGGCAATGCGGCCCAGTTGGACAAAAAGATTTGGCACCCTTGTTCCACGGAGCATGGAGAAAAACTCTTCTAAGGTCCAGTGCTGTCCTGACTTGAGTTCGAGTGTTCGGGGGAACATACACGCCATCTTATGCCTATTTTGAATATTGTATTGGGAACCCGGCCATCTGCGTCTGCAAGGTGCACATGTGTACGTCTGGACCACATTCGCACAAAGGTACGTACAGAGGTACGCATGCAGAGCTGAAGACAAAAACACGTACGTCTCACATTTGTACCTCTCCTCGTACGTTTCTACTTTGCTGTGCAGGGGAGTCCTCACCTGAGAGAGGAGGATTCTCCCTTTCAATTCAAGGTGCTTCGATCAAGTCGGCTTCTCATGCTATATTATTCGTGAGTAGTATGCAGCTGAGCTTGACGTTCCCCATCGCGCTTCCTTCCTTCATTCCAATAAGGCAAGAGCGTGAATGCGAGTCCTTCACGAAAGATGATAAACATATGCCCGTTAAATTCAGTTCATTTCATAATATTACTTTTTATATTCCAATTATAAAACCGTGATTCTGACAAGCAGATCCAGTTTTTAATAATCCCCCCCCCTGATTTTGCAACATCCAGCTCATTTCACTGTCTGGCTCCAAAGTTTGGCCAACGTCGACCATTGAACTCCAAATTCGCCGTGAGAATCCCAGTCACTCGAGCGAAGGTTGATGGTATGCACACTATGCAGGAACATTTCATGCACAATCATTCCGGAAGATTTGGCATGTGATGTCACTTTGGAGTTACAGGATAGTCACATGACCCAAAAGGAGTTCCCATGACTGTAGACAGATAAGAGATACCGGCAGGATATTTGTTGCATGATGCTTCACCCAGCATGTGAAGGTGGTTTCACATAAATTCCAGTAAAATTAGGCAAACCCTGAGCAAACCTTTTTTGCTAAGCACGTGCTGTTCAATAAGTGAGTATGCCTGCGTTTGACTTGCTCATCTGGTTCGGATAAGTCCGATCGCACGCGGAGAAAGCAGTCAAGTTCAGCTTCCTAATACAAGAGCTCAGATGGGAAAAGCTCTAGCATAGATTCTTATGGGCTGATTTCATGGACTTTTATGTCAAACCTTGGATGGATTTCCTCATAAATTTCTGTAGATATCTAGTACTAGCGAGTTTGTTTGCCCTTCGGGCAAACAAACTCGCTATGGTC